CCTCTTTCATTTGTAAAGCCACTTCTGCTGCTTTCATTCATTTGGAAGTCCTGTAGCTGAGTTTGGGAGAGACTAACAGCCTCGGCAGCAGAGGGGAGAAAGGCTGTAACACCACCACTTTACTCTGTTCTACCTGTCACATCATTTTATCAGGAAACAAATATGCTCATGTTTTTACTATGTTTGTCTTGAAGATGTAAGAAGATCACATGGTGCTTTTTATTATTGTGTTGGTTTGTTTCCTGTCTCTTGGATGGAGCCCAGCTGTGCGTGGCCCCTGGGCCTGTGGTCAGAGTGTGTGCTGGATAATCCGGCCCAGGATGAGGCCAAACTGACATGGGATGAAATGTCTGTCACATAATTGAGCTTAGTGTAGTTTCATTTCTGCACAATTTAAAAACAACCAAAACTTTGTTCTGTCTTTTCTATGTTATACTGTAGACTTTCTTTGATACTGTGTCCAAAAGGAGCAGCTTTTACTTTGAAGGGGAGGCGTCTCTGTTTCCTCTTCAGGTTGGATGATGGAAGCAAATGAGTGTGTGATGTTCTTTCAGTGTTGCACTTTGTAGACGCTCCCTGAGACTGGTAGAGCTGGGCGATATAAGATTTTTTCATATCACGATATGTTTTTTTCATTTCAGGCGATAACGATATCTATCACGATATAAGCCAAATAACTATATTTGTAAGATTTAAATGTGCCGTTGCTCACAAGTAAAATGTGAAATAATCAGCAGCTTGTTTTATTTAAATATTTATTTCCCATAATAAGTTCAACAGGGTAGATGTACTAAAGAAACATGAGACTTTTTCAGATAAATAAAGGCAAATATTGCAAACTACACAAAAGGCAGCCGCTAAAGCGTTTAAGTTTCAAAATAGAACAAACGAAACAGACTAAATTGTCAATTCCACTTAGAAACAAAATATTAATTCTAAAAATAAATCTTAGTTTGTTTTACAGAAGAACAGACAAAACTGACTAACTTTTGTCAATATCAAATAAACTGAGAACTAAAAGGAAATTCTCAATCTCTCCTTGTTGTATAGCTGAGCTTTTCAAACAGTTTTAACAGTTACTTTAGTCTGACAAAAGCCGAATGACGAATTAGCGCTTCCAGTCAGAGATTGAGCATGCACCGGTTTATTGTATTTCCAGACTTGCTTTCGGCACAATTTACAGTGCCGCTACTCTGTTTTTTGTCAGACTTGAAATAGCCGAAATACCTTCACACTACGGAACTTCTATGGCTCTTCCGTTCGACAATCTCTCCGGCATTGGAACCATCATCTGTTTTCTCTTCGGTAACCTTCGGTCACGCTCTCGGTTGATTTTTCTCTAGTCGGCACACTCATTTCCTCCATTACCCGGGCGGCACGGCGGCTGGCTGCTTCCCAAACAAATACACATGTGCGGCTTGGCACTTGTGCTGTACGTAACAAGTCACGTGACGTGACGCTGCGGCTGTGATTGGTTCGGCTCTGCGCTACTTAATTTGGATTGGCTGTTCTTTTTTTTTTTTTTTTTTTTTTTTTTTAAGAGGACAAGAGCGGTGAGGTCTATCGCAATAGTTTAATTTTTCTATCGAGAAAAAGTTATTCGCAATACATATCGTTATCGTTCTATGCCCAGCTCTACTGGAAACCCATGGTTATTCATGTCCCATGTTATTGCAGAAACCCACAAAAGGGGAATAAACCCTGAGCTATACCCATCTCAAGTCCAGAGAGTTTTACTCATACAGCACCGGACATAGAGACTGAGGGGGGTTACATAGGCATCCTCGCCTGGACCAGTGGCTGCCCTTGTGAGACAGACTTTATGGTCACAAACAGCCCTAATCTGAGAATGAAGGCTCCTTTACATAGAAAGCAGTATGTGGTGTGATGACCGCTGCATTAGCTCAAAATATGTGATGCACTGGCTGCTGCACTCTACCTGTACTGAATCAGTTTTTGTAGCCCAGTCCCAGTCTTTACATTTAATATGCAGCCACTCCCTGACAGCATGAATGTCACAGTGTGTTGGACCTTGACTGTGGCACATGTCAATGCTCCCTGGACATCGTGCTTAATAAAGGAGATTAAATGTGATGTGATTATGAGTTTTGCTCTTTTGAAGTTTAAACATTTATGTGTCAAAATGTTGGACTGTTCCTTTATCAGTGTGTAACAGTGTGTGTGAGAGCCATGTAATGTCCATGTGTGCATGCTGACTGTGCTGCTCTGACCCCCCTCCTCCTTTCAGGGTGGAGCCTGCTGGAGTCCGATGGTTGAGACCAGGTCTGAGGAAGTGTAAGTGTGTTTTTAATGGGATTCATGAAAACAAAGCAGCACACATTCAACCATCTTCATCATGTCAGGAGTCATCATCAAAGTGTCAATCAATGAACAGATGATGGATCAATAACTGCAGCTGGATTGTGTTTGTTCTCTCCATCAGATTCCTGTCAACTCACAATCGACACAAACACAGTGAACACAAAGCTCCAACTGTCTGACAACAACAGGAAGGTGACACATGTGGAGGAGGTTCAGTCACATCCTGATCATCCAGACAGGTTTGATGTTTGTGAACAGCTGCTGTGTAGAGATGGTCTGACTGGTCGCTGTTACTGGGAGGTCGAGTGGACGAGGAGGGCTTGGATATCAGTGAGTTACAGAGGAATCAGAAGGAAAGGAAGGAGTGATGAGTGTGTGTTTGGTGGAAATGATCAGTCCTGGAGTCTTTTCTGCTCTGATCATTATTCCTCTGTGTGGCACAATAACAGAGAAACACCCATCTCCTCCTCCTCCTCCTCCTCTGTCTCTAACAGAGCAGCAGTGTATGTGGACTGTCCTGCTGGCACTCTGTCCTTCTACAGAGTCTCCTCTGACTCTCTGATCCACCTCCACACCTTCCACACCACATTCACTGAACCTCTTTATCCTGGATTTACAGTCTCATGTGGTTCCTCAGTGTGTCTGTGTGTAGTTTAGTTTAAAGAGTGTCATGTTAGTGTCCTTTAACACTCTGATTGTTGAACAGATAGTTCAGTCTGTACACGTCTGTCTCTTTCACTCAGAAACACATTTTTAGATTCATGGATTCAATCACTTGATGTTTTAAACTGTTTTTCTGTCAAAGCTTCACAGACATCAGTATGCAGTGTTTCTCTGAAGCTCAGTTCAGCTGAGATGATGAAGTTCATTCAATGTTGGAATACTGAACTTATTTGAAACATATTTGAACACAGATATTATTAAACTGACAGAAACACTGACATCAGTAAAGAGGAACAGACTAATGAGTGCTTACTGCCCTCCGATGGTCACAGATGTAAATGCAAGCATGGAGCTATATTTTAAAAAAGCAGATGTCTTCACATATAATTATCATCATGTAGCTCTGTAACTGTTAGCTAGGCAATTTCACATTTGTGTCTTTTTGTGGAATCAGTGTGTTTGAACAACACAAATTCTGCCTTTTCTAATTTTGAAAGACTGAACATGATATAAACAAAATAAATCTGATCTGTTCCTCTACAAATCTGGACAAATCTCAGATTCTGAAGTTCTCAGCGCTTACATTTTGTCCTCTCTACACTTCTGCTGACAACTGACATGTGATGTGTTTGTACACAAACCATCTGTCCTCTCTGTCCAAAATGTGAACATTGGCATCCTCGAAAGAGTGTCCTTTATCCTTAAGATGCAGATGGACTGCTGAGTCTTGTCCTGTGGAGGTGGCTCTTCTGTGTTGTGCCATGCGCTTGTGAAGTGGCTGTTTGGTCTCTCCAATGTAGAGGTCTGGGCATTCCTCGCTGCACTGTACAGCATACACCACATTGTTAAGTCTGTGTTTTGGCGTTTTGTCTTTCGGGTGAACCAGTTTTTGTCTGAGCGTGTTGCTGGGTCTGAAATACACCGGGATGTCATGCTTGGAGAAAACTCTCCTGAGTTTTTCTGATACACCGGCTACATAGGGGATGACAATGTTGTTGCGTCTGTCCTTCTTATCCTCCCTCGCTGGTGTCTGGTCTTCTTTTCTGTGCCTCTTTGCTGACTAGAACGCTCCTTTGACTACGATGACCTGGATGACTGAGAACCTTCACAGACACTTGTGGTCAAATAATGTGTTGTGCAGCACGCAGGACAGACAGCGCACAATGTGCTTTGAAGTAGCAGCCAAGAAAGGTGTAATTTAAGTCTACGAGCAGTGAACACCTGTGTGCACACCTGTGTGGATCAGCGCGCTTGTATTCAAATGGTTTCCACATGTAATGGTCTGCAAGAGGATGTAGCGAGCCATAGCCCCGTCCCCCAGGGCATGAACACGGCATGGAGGAGATCCAGGCCCCAGAGTGCGAGAGCCCAAGGAGGACCACCGGAGGGGCATCTGTGCCACCCTCATGGGAAGGGCTGAGGATCCCCAGACGAGGCGTCACCCAGTAGCCACCGAGCAGAAGCTAGAGGGGGCTGCACCGGCGTGCCCAACGGCTCCGCCGGCAGCCAGCTGTGCCAGAGTGAACCGAGCCGCAGGCCCAGAGGCCGGAGGCCCGAGGGCCCCCCGCACCCCGGAGGAGGCCTGACCGAGCAACAGGCGCCAGGCCCCGCCAGGTAGCCACCGGGAGTGAGCCGGTACATACCTGAGCGCCCAGCCCCGGACACCAAGAACCACCAATGCACCGACCCCTGAGGGCATCAGTCACCGCAGGGAGTGTGTGAGGGGAGATAGGCCTTGGAGGGCCTGGGAGTTCCCAGAGAGGTGGAGTCTAAGACCCGACCTGACATATAGACACAGACAAACAGGCACACACAGACACAAACATGCATTCCCACCCTCATGCACACATATACAAACACTCAGCACTCACCCGAAGGCGAATAAATGGTAATGGTTGATTTACGCTACTAGTCAAGGCCCCATTAATAGACACTTCACCTGGATGGCAATCGTACCACAGCCAGACTACAGTGGACAGTACAACATCACACTCCCAAACATACTCTATACCCCGGTGTACCTCGCCCCAGAGGAACACCAGACCCAAGAATTAAGAGGAGAAGAAGAGGAGAGGGAGGCCACCCTGACCATCACTCCAGCTGAAAACATCACACTTCCATTAAAGTTGGTGAGAAAATGTTGAGCAGGATGAGCTGCTGGCTAATGTTCCCTCTAATTTTTCATGTGTCTGAGCAACACACAAACTCCCTGAGCGATCCCTTGGACCACTGTGAGCGACATCAGACGTGTGCACTGTGGTCACGCCAGCATCTAATCCATACAAGTTACATGGTTTATTAAAATAATCAAATTACAGCATTTACATTTATGTTAGAATACTTTTAAACTGCTTTACCCATTTACAATGAAAATGAAAAAAAAAAAAATCTAGCCATTGGCCTGTGTAGTATGTTAACACTATTGGAAGTAAACTCCAATTTCGAAAACACAACTTTCTTTTTCTTTTTTATAAAGCTCTGACTTGTATTATGAGTCTGTGGTCTGGGAGAGAGTCCTGTAACTCCCTGTCTGCAAAATTCAGTAAATAATGACTAATGTTTGGCAAATAATTATATAGTTACTCCTCAAAAAAGCAACTCAGTTTGGCAAACAACAACGTTTTTTGCAGCTATTTTTTTAAATGCAGCCAAGGCATTTTTAAATAAACATTTCAAACTATTTACAGAACAATCAGCTGTTCTGCATCAAATCTGATGCCACACAAATTATTTGTGCCACTGCAAAAAATAATTTCTGTCCACTATGAGATAAAGGAGAACACCTGTCACTATCCCAGGCAATAGTCCCACGCATTTAGTGCCTCCTGGAGGATTTTTGTTGCTCGGAGGCCCTTAACTGAAGACTTTGAGGAGTAATCCTGTTTTATCGGCATCTGAGGCTGAATCTCAGGTGGTTCCTGTAATCAGCCATCTTACGTGCTGTTTGCGCTGATATACTGATATACTTAAACTTCGGGCAGGCCTTGCCAAAGTGGGTTAAAACGTCTTGATACATGCACAATTATCCAGGTAAGGAAACCCCTAAATTTGATTCTGTTCATCTGGAGGATTTCAGTGGGAGATATGTTTTGTTACTCATCCAAGTGACTTCTTCAGTCTCAGATGACTGCAGGTTTCCCCAACATTATAAACAGTACATTTACACAATGACTAAAACAAGCACAACTGAATGTCCAATGGGCTGTGAGGTCAGTTCCTTGATCATTAATATGCAAATTGTCATGATCATTAATCAGTGGCCATGAGCACCATTCACTGAGATTTAGTAATTAGCCAACCCAGTGAATGGGAATGGTTTCAGTCATTGTGCAAATGAAGAACTAGTCACCTCGAAGAATGAGGAAATATTTAAATATTTAAAACGCAGATGAATCAACTTGGGATACAGTGGTTCCTCGATGTAATGCAGTTCACCTTTCGCGGTCTTGCTGTTTCGCCGATTTTTTGTGTGCAAATTTGTATGCTTTTTTCTTTTCTTTTTTTTTGTGTTCTGCATCCTGATCAGCTGTAGACCATTGTCAATAAGTCTCCTTGTGCCGTGTCTCCTGTACAGCACAGAATGCATTCAGCTTGTCAAATTTACATAAATCTTCGATCACTAGCAGCGTGACTCTGTTGTGTTTGTTGGGGAGAAAACTTACAAACATACAGTACATTGCCTCAATGTGGATGAAGCGTTTTTGACCATCAAAGGCACCTGTGGCAGAGGAAGACGCTAACCATCAGACAAAAATTCGAACTTCTGGACAAGCTAAAGAAAGGTAGAAGTTACTGTATTTTTTGGACCATAAGGCACACCGAATTATAAGGCGCATTACAACAAAACCGTCAAATAAGTCAAACTTTACTCAACTCGCTCTTCTTGCTTCCTCCACTTCTGTACCATTGATTCATTAATGTTGAATTCTCTGGCAGCTGCTCTATTCCCATGTTCTGGACCTGAAAACAGGGTTTGATCTTTGGTTTCATTCTACAATATTGGACTTATTTTTCTATGACGATTTGAACTTAAAGAGTGTTTAAACAAGAGAGAAAAGTGTGAAAATGTTTGCGCCTGTCAGAGAAAAATGTATAAAGTGTGTAGTGAGGGGTTTTACAGCCTTAAAACATCTAACAAAATAATGAGCATGATAATTGCGGATTTTACCTATCGTAGGTTATTTTTAGAACGTAACTCCCGCAATAAACAAGGGACCACTGTATATGGTTGCTCCCAAATGTATATACCGTCACACCATAAGTGTCATAATATTTTTAGCACATCAAAACACAGCCTTCTTCTTCCAGTAAATAGACAAAATAAGAATCAAAACAGAAAAATGTTGAGCAAAGAAAAAAAAAATTTGATATGTTCAAATGATGGAACACAAAGTAAGTAAGATACATGATACAAATGTCTGTTTCTTCAATCAAATCGTCTTGTAGTAAACCAAACTCAGCAAATAACAAAATCTGAGAAATTAATTGGTGATTGTTTGAAATTAAAGTTAAAGAAAGCCCTATTATTTACATGATCAATGAAGAAGACTTTTAAAACATCTACAACTAATAAACCTAGGATTATCAGCAAAGCAAACAAAACTGGCTGCTAGAAAAGATAACTCATTAAAAGAATGATAACAAGCCATGATCAAGTTACAATAGTTGTTCTATTGCTTTGCAACTAAATAAACTGAAACACAAAATATCACTGATTAGTATTTGCCTTCTTTTTCACTGCTATGATTATGCCTCCTACTGCCAGACCCACTAATGCCCCCACTCCAGCTCCTGCTGGACCTCCTAAAGCTCCAACGCCAGCTCCAATACCGACTTCAACACCAACTCCAGTAGCAGCTCCAAGAACAGCAGCAGCACCAGTGCTACCTATAATGGCTTTAATGAAGTCGTTTTTTCTCTCTGCCCGTTTTCTTGCTTCTTTAGGTGTCATATTTGGATTTTCTTGCAGAAGTCGTTCTGTCTCTGCTCTTATGGCTTGCTCAGCTAATATGAAATTTTCATTTGTGTAGTATCTTTCTCCATTCTTCTGAACCATTGTTTTGATTTTTGCCAATAGTTCTGTGACCTGAGAAGAATTATCCACCCTGTTGTTAAGAACATGATATCCTCCACCACACTGATGAATGAAGTCAAAGAGAGTTTTATCTTCATTAATAAATTGTTTGATGTCAACACCAGCAGCCTCCAGATTGTCTCCATAAGTGAACAAGGCCATAGTGTATTCTGCTGCATTTTTTCCAAACAGCTTCTGAATAATTTTCACTGTTTCTTGTTCTTCCTTTGTGAATCTATTTGGCTGAATCACAACCAGGAACACATGAGGACCAGCAACAGCAAAAGAGATGCATCTGGCAAGCTCTCTCTTCACCTCATTTTCAGTTTTAGTAGTGTCAAACAGACCCGGAGTATCAACTACAGTCAGGATTTTACCATCAACTGTTTTTGTTACTTTTTCACACTCGGATGTCAGTGAGGAAGCAGATGTTTTAGACATGAATTTTTTTTCACCTAAGATGGTGTTTCCTGCTGCACTCTTTCCAACTCCAGTTTTTCCAAGGAGCACAATCCTGAAATCTGGTTCTCCCTCAGTCTCCTGGAAATTTTCAGTTGTGTAATATTTTCCTCCATTTCTCTGAACCATTACATTGATCTTCTTCAGCAGCTCTCTGACCTGAGAGTGATAATTGTTTTTGTTGTTAAGAACATGATATCCTCCTTGACACTGACAGATGAAAGCACGGAGTGCTGAATTTCCATTGATTATTTTTTCTATGGAACAGCCTTCTGCCTCCAGATCATCTCCATGGGTGAACAAGGCCATAGTGTAACTTGCTGCCTTTTCTCCAAACTTCTTCTGAATCACTTTGACTGTTTCTTGTTCCACTTCTGTGAATCTGCCGGCCTGGATTACTACCAGAAACACATGAAGACCGGGAGCAGCAAGGGACATGCAATCACCAAGCTCTCTCTTTACCTCCTCTTCACTTTTACTGGTGTTAAACAGATCTGGAGTATCAATTACAGCCACGAGTTGACCTTCAAATGCTACTGTTTCTTTCTGACACTGTGATGTTACTGTGGAAGAAGACATCTCAGACTTAAAAGCTTTTCTTCCTAAAATGGTGTTTCCTGCGGCACTCTTCCCAACTCCGGCTTCCCCAAGAAGCACCATCCTGAGATCTGGCTCCTCTGGAACTGAATAAAGAGAATAATGTAAATTTTTTTATGAGAATAGTATAATTGGCATATTTCACTGTGTTTTACTGAGAATTTATCTCAGTAATCAAATCTCCCCCCAAAAAAACTATAAGTATTAATTTTATTTACTGTAACTTCAAAATTAAACAAAATACAGCCTCATTGTTCAAGTGCAACATTGGATGAAGTAGCTGCAGCTGTTGACTATAAACCATATAAACCAACTATTCACATTTCAACTTTTAACTATTTAAATTTTCAGCTTTTTCCTTTTAAACTAATTTAAAGTGAAACAACACAAAACACTGCAAACCACAACACAATTAAATATAAATATGAAAAAATGTGAAAACAAAAAGAAGCACATTCTCTGTCATATGGACCTGCATGAATAAACTTTCTGAATCCTTTATCATCTGCAACTGAAAATAGTTGTGGATGATTACTATACCTTTCTAATGTGATGTTGTTGTCCCTGGCTCTCTTTCTCTGTTTCTCCCTCCCGCTCTGTTCCTGTGCTACTGCAAGTGTAACTACCGCCCCTCCCCCCTCTTCCCAGTGCAAAGCACAAGGCTCGCATGCGGAGTGAAGCGGAAAAAAGGGCGAGAGAGAGGGTGAGAGAAAGAAAAAAAACCCACGGTTCCCAATAAGGAGCCGGGTCGCGTCGTTCACTTCAAAGAAGCGGCTCTAAGAGCCGATTAGTTCGCGACTGACACATCACTATATTAGACTTAATAGTTATTATATACAATAATGGATTTCTATACATTTAATCAGATGGCCACTTTGGTTGTAAGATTCAGATACGTATTTATTAAAAGTTAGTCATTTTAAATGAAATAACAAACAAAAGTATTTCTTTGTGCCCACGTTTCCCTGTTAATGCCCTACCTGGCCCCCTAGCAAAACTTTGCTAGATCCGCCCCTGCACAGTTACCAGCTGTCAGCTACGTAGAAAAGGATCCTGGTGTTATTTTTTCTCTCAGAAACAGTTCATAACTTCCCTTCAACTCATTCACATAAAAGGTAATCCTGTTAGTCCATCACTGTTCAGCTGATGATTCAGTAAGAACATCTCCTGGATTCATTTTCATGCTTCCCTCTCACCACATATCCAAACGGTGGGCGATAAACAAACAAGTAAAACGGGACTTGCGACAGAAAAGCCAACCAGCTGATCATTGATCAGTTTCATGATTGAAGTTGCGACAGGGGAGGGAGGGGAGAGAATGAGAGAAGAAGAGGCAGCTGTGCAGCAAGGACAGAATAACTCCAGCTTTGTGCCTTTTTTTTTCCATTGTAGCTGAAGTACGGGACAAATCGCTTCCTTTTTGCCTCAATATGGAACTCCGATGGCCAGTCCAGCTGTGGCTCCATATATCAGTTGTTAAGCGTAACATGGAAATACTATGTAAACATTCAGAGATGCATTTACCCACTTGCTTTACTTCTTTGGGATAGTTTTCTCCGAGATGAAATGCCGCGGACTGGAAGGATAGCGAGGCACCAAATGCTCCACCAGACCACCGACAGGTCTCACAGACAACAGCCTATCACGTGACACATACTGCTCCGAGGAGCTGAGCTGGGTTACACCAAGTAGCGCGTTTTGTGAGGTGATTTTGTGATACTTCGGATCGGATCACATTTTTTATTTCTGTCCAATATCCGATCCAGTAATTTAGGTCAGGATCGGACCGATACGAATAAATTCTTTACAAATCCTACCATGTGAATTCATGGATTTTTTTTTCACATTCTGTCTCTCACAGTTGAAGTGTACCTTTGGTGCAAATTACTGACCTCTGTCATCATTTTAAGTGGGGGAACTTGCACAATCGGTGGCTGACTAAATACTTTTTTGCCCCACTGTATTGTATCTATGCAAAGATGAAGAGACTGTGTGTTCACTGGTCTCTGTGGTGCTGACTGCTTTGCTGCAGCTCTGATGTCATCATCACTCCCTCCTCCACCCTCAGCAGTCCCAGCATGCTGCTGTGGTGCACCCCACCCTCACTCTACACCTGAGCCATAGACCACACCCTCCACCTCAATATACACCACAGTTTTCTCTGCTATGAAATGCTCTTTTTCCTCCTCCCCTCACCTGTGGATGGACGGTGCTGTTACCGTGGTGACAGCTTGGATGTGTTTCAGTCCTGCCTGGTTATCACTGAAGGAATCTTTACTTTCACATTTATTACAGGTAATAACTCAGATTTTTCTGTGTATTATGAACTAAATGTATCCTGATACACACAGAGATGGATGAGCAGAGGTCACATGATGAAAGAAAAAACATGGAGTCTTTTATTTATTTAGATATTTATTGATGAATGCAAACAAACCCGGACACTGAACCATCGTTGAGCTTTCACAAAACAAACCTGATCACATGACCTGCTGACGCAGACCCAAACAGTGAAAAGCTCCATGGCAACAACAAACAGCCTCACATATGTTAACAGAGGCTGTTAGAAGCACAGAGACATAACTCTTCCAAAATTATTAGACACCCAAGCAATGGCACTGGATTCACCACTGACGCCAGGTGAACTCCAGGAAGCCCTGATAAGTATGCCCAATATTAAGGCTCCAGGTCTAGACGGTTTTCCAACAGATTTTTACAAAGAATTCTGGACAATTCTGGCACCAGTTTTTCACAGGATGTTGTTGGAAATCAAAGAAAATGGTAGACTACCACCAAATATGAACTCTGCAAATATCAGTCTCTTACAGAAACCAGGCAAAGACCCTTTATTTCCTTCAAGCTATCGTCCAATATCCCTTATTAATGTAGACCTTAAAATAATCTGCAAAGCTCTCTCAAAGAGATTAGAGAAAATAACACCCCTTTTAATTCATCCTGACCAAACTGGTTTTATAAAAGGTAGGCACTCGTCAACAAATACACTTAGATTACTTAATTTAATAGACTACTCGTGCAGTAAAAACATTGAAACCATAATATTTTCTTTAGATGCAGAAAAAGCATTTGACAGAGTTAACTGGAAATTTCTATTTGCAACTTTACATAAATTTGGTTTTGGACCCTTTTTCATAAACTGGTTAAAAATATTATATAACTCCCCAACAGCTTGTGTCAGAACAAATGACCAAACATCCCCCAGCTTCTCTCTTCTGAGGGGCACCAGACAGGGATGCCCACTCTCCCCTTCACTGTTTGCAATTTTTATTGAGCCACTAGCAGCAGCAATTAGTTGCTTTCCTAAACACGCTTTCCTAATAGTATTTTAAGATGGTTTAAACACACCCTCTTAGATGAACCTTGGATAGATGTAGAACAGGCACTATGTAATAACCTAGAAATTTCAGACCTACCATTTATCAGCT